CCTCACTATTCATACGCTAGATTTTGGTATCACCCAATGTGGATTTCGCACCCTACCTTAGAACACTTAACTATCCTTGAGGTAAACCTAACACAGTGGTACATGTCCCACACATGTATTCACATGCTTGTTCTTATAACTTCTTCCTAATTAGTACATATTGACCTGCTATTCCATATTCGTATCTCATGCCACCTTTTGGGGTGTTGCCGTTTTACAGACATTTCTCAAGCACCAACCTTCCTAACTAGGCACCTATTACGTACCCCTTGCCCTTGTTTTGGTTTCTAGCAACCCCAGTACTCCACATTTAGACCGTCTTCTTACCCAGATTCTTTACCGGTCCCTCCCTTACTTCTAGCCGGCAACCCGGAAGGGTTGGTCTGCCCAGGCTTTAGGTGCCTGAAGGACACCCTCCTTGGTCCATACTTTCGAAGCATATGTCCTTTTCCTCCGGTGCGACAACCCAGCAGTTCAGATAGTGTGTCCTTCGCCATTAGGACCTGGTCGCTCAGTTCTCCAATCTCGGGCCCCAGTTTGAATTTAGCCCTTCTGTAGTATCGTCATAGATCACTACTACCTCCAAACTTGGGACTTGCCAAATGGGTTTTCAGTTATTCCGGTTTCTCGAATTTATTGTGCCAAAGCTCCCATAACTAGATGGTATGACCAAGATTACAGATTTCTAGATTCAACTGATAATCAACAACCGTAAACCATAACACAGGCTATTTTTCAAAATTCGTCATTCGTGAGATTTGAACTCTAAACCTGTCACTTGAAGAGGGTGACAACTAGACCACTACACTAAGTCACCACACCTCTATATAACTAGATATTTATTTATTAAAAAAATTAATAAAATAAATATAGTATATACTTTCTATTTTTTTAAAATTTACACTTATATTAATACTAATTAAATTAACTAAACTAACTAAAACTAGATTAAAATTTCTATTTTATTTTTTATTTATATAATATTTAAAATATACTAAAATTTTTTAATATAAATTTTTTAATATTTATATATTAGCTAGCTAATTATATTAATTATTTTAGCTATTTTAGCTATATTAGTTATATTAATTATATTAAAATATTAGCCACACTAGCCACATTAGCCACACTAGCCACACTAGTTACACTAAGTTTAACAAATACTCAACAAATATTTATTTATTTAAAATTTATTATATATCTTTTGTCTTTAAATTTTATATAAAAATTAATAATTAAAAATCTAAAACAAAAAATTTAGATCATGCAAATCTAAATTATATAAAAATTTTCGCAATATACTGTAGATTTATTCAAATTTTTAATAATTTTAATTTTTTTCTAATTGCAGATTTTCTCTAAATGTAGGTCAAAGTACTGGTTCCAGCAACATGCACTTAGACAGAGTTAACTGTATATAGCTTTATTTGATAGTCAATATCTCTAAATATATCATTAATATTAAACAATATAAATCTGTCAAATTCTAATAATATATTAGAATAAATTATTATCCAGGTGAATATAATATACATATATATATATATAAAATATAATAAATAATTATCTAAGCAGATCTACAATATTTAATATAGCTATGTCTGCTAGCAGATACTACTTATAAATTAAAATATAGCTGTATAGAATAGAAGATACGTTTTAAATATATATAAATACAAATTTATAGCTATATAAGATAGATGATACCTCATCAAATTTTCAGTAAAATAACTAAAATTTCTTTTGAAAAATTAACTTTTCCTAATAGAACAACAAAAATATCAATCAACTTTCTTCAAGATATTACTTGTCCAATATTTAGAGAAATTTTACCAAAACTCTCTAATAAAACAACAAAAATATCAATCAACTTTCTTCACAATATTAAAGAAATTCTACCAAAACTCTAATAGAACAACAAAATATTAATTATTTCTTCGAGATATTACTTGTCTGATATTTAAAGAAATTTTATCAAAACTTTCTAATAGAACAACAAAAATATTAATTACCTTTCTTCAAGATATTACTTGTCTAATATTTAAAGAAACTCTATTAAAACTCTCCGATAGAACAACAAAAATATTAATTATCTTTCTTCAAGATATTACTAGTCCAATATCTAAAGAAACTTTATCAAAACTCTTCAATAAAACACAAAATATTAATCAACTTTCTTCAAGATATTTACCTTGTCTGATATCTAAAAAAATCCTATCAAAACTCTTTGATAGACTAACCAAAATATCATTTAACTTTCTTTAAAATAGTTATCTTGTTTAGTATCTAAAAAAATCTCATCAAAACTCTCCAATAAAACAACAAAATATCAACCAACTTTCTTTAAAATGTTTACCTTGTCTAATATCTAAAAAAATCCCATCAAAACTCTTCTCCAATAAACTAACTAAAATATTATTTAACTTTCTTCGAAATATTTATCTTGTTCAATATTTATATAAAATTTTCTTGCAGAAAAAAATTAAAGTATTAGCAGATTTCTGTGAAATATATACAATTGTAATATCTTATTAAACTATCAATATGTATTATAGAAATATTGGAAGAGAGATAGTTTGTTCAACATTTTTATGTTTGACCTGTGATAGTATATAAAACCAATTGCAGTCTCACTTTAAATATTAAAAAATAAAATAAAATAAAACCAATTGTATTAAGTTTATACTAATCCTTACTGATATTGAGATTCTGTGATTAGATTTTAATAATTTTAAGCTTGTTAGAATTGTCTTATTAAGACAAACATTATAGTTAAATTATCTAAAACTAATCAATAAATTAAAAGTTATTTAAATATTACTTATATATAACTTTAAAAATTAATAGTAAAATTATACAAAATCTTAATTATCTTGGAATCTTATAATTAAATTTTAACATTTTTAAATTCATTAGAATCATCTTATTGAGATGAACATTTTGGTAGCAAAATCATTCAAAATAGATTAGTAAATTAAAAGTTATTGGCAATTCTATAAATCAGCCTATATATATAATAAAAAAACACAAATTTTACTATTTTGCAACTCATGTTTCACCCTATTCCATATTATTTAGTTTAAAATAAATAAAATTATTCAAAATTTATATTTAAAATTTAGGAGTTTATGTATTCTTTTAATTAAATCAAATTTAAATAATTTTTTTCATAAATTTACATATAAAATTGTAGTACATCCTTATTTGGCCAATAGGTACAACATTTATTAGAAATGATCCTATGGCTGATATTATTTTCTTGATAAAAATTTAGATATAATAATATCGATATGTTGATTAACTTGTAGCATGTATTCTTGTGAAACGTGAAATTTTGATGGAGTATGCTAGGGTAGAGGATAGTTATGGCTGAGGTACTCCAGTAATTGGAGTATGTTCATGGGAATGAGAAATTAGTGAATTTTCATCTTCATGCTCATCTTCAATGGCATCTTGCGTTAACCTTGGAAAGTCATCATCATTCCTTTGATTTTCATCAGCTGATAAGTCTTCGTCTCTTCCATCGTTACTAAATAAGTTTGTAGTCGTTGTATCTGTCGTTGAACTTTCAGAAGAAGCGGTATTAGAATTTTCATCTTGCGAGCTACCAGTCTGCTCTCTTTCTCTCCTTTCCCTCTCTTGTTCTAAAAGACTTAATCGAATTGCTTCCATAACCATTAGTTCTTCCAAGTCGGTACCCATTCTCATAGCTGCCAGATATCCTCCATACTCGGCTGCTGCTGCTGGGGGGAGATTAGGACGTCTAGGCGGAGTAGTTGAAGGATTAGGATTGTTTCCACCCTGTGGTGGGCGAACTACAACGCGCCGTGAACCCGAAGATGCCGCAGGAGTTGGTCGTCTCGCACCAGGCGGTTGACGTAGTGGTTGTTGAAGTACGCGGGATGCCCAATCTGGTCGTATTTGATCTTTAATTTGATCAATTACGTAAAATAACAAATATTGTAAATTTTTTTTGTTACTATTATTTTTGATTCATTTTTTTTATTTTGAAATTAACATCTTCAAGCTCAATATTAGTAAATAGCAAACAAAACAAAATAAAATAAAATGAATCAATAAAAAAAATTGTTTCTGACAGTTAGAATATGATTTTCTTTTTATTAAAAAAAATATATTATCTTGAAACCAATCACATGAATAACAATTGAATTATAAAACATTGAATTACCAGTGGTAACAACATCAGAGTCCTTATAGACTATGCTCCTTCGCCGCGCTTTACCGTCTGGCACATTTGGCGAAGGTGATAGTGATGTAGATGGAGGAATATTCGGATTTGGAATCGCAACAGGCTAAAAAAAAAAAGTGAGAATATTTATTAAATGTATAATAAGAAACTTCTACATTGATCGATAGAAAAGGAAGTAGCGCATATCTACCATGTTCTCACTGCCAATCCCAGAGCTAAAAGATGGAGGTTTATAGTAGACACCAAAGTTAGGCTCTACACAATAAGGGCAAACGGCAGAAGAATTGTTTGCTCCTAAAGAACCACTTTCTGGTCGTTTTATTTGAACGAAACATTCGGTACAAATTGGCTGATCACAACATCGAGAATAATTGATATTTCGTGGATAATACTATATCATTTAACATTATTTCAAGCAAGATAAAAAAAATTGAGCAAATTTAGGAAATAGACTTTTAAATGTAAGAATAACATCTGCTCCCATTTCGTTTCTAATTCCGTAGTTTAATTGACAAAAATATCTTTCGTAGTTCACGCGAGATCCTAATCAAATTGTGCCTTCCAATGAACCGCATAAATGCATTTCAATAATGTTGTAATAGGCTGATCTTTAATTTCGTCGACTATCTTTTGCTCGATTGAAAAAATAATAACTCACCAAAAAGCAGATTGGACATTCAGCAGCACCCTTATATAATTGAGATTCTAATGTTTTTACAGTGGACGCTTCTTTGCCTTTAGTTGTTCCTGTTACATTTAATGTTGATGCTCGTTTTATTTCTCTACTTCCTTGTGATTGACATTCCCCACTAAATGTGGCACATTTCTTACCCTCACTGGCTTTTGGAAGATTATGAGTTGTTAGTGTAACTTCATCCCAACTTTCGTCATAGTCTGATAGCCCTTTATAAAAAGGAGCCAGCTTGCGTTCTATGATGAATTTGCGGACACTCCTATAGTCCCAGTCTTGAGGTACTTTGTATACACCGTTCGGGACTAATTGTCCTCCGTCCACAGTTTCTTCTCCCTTCTCTTTACCGATCGTGTTTCCCATGCTAGTTTAATCCAGTTGGCCAAAGAGTATGTCTTAAATAGGTATGTTTATTTCAATTAAAAACTTTACACGATACAGTAAATTTTTACAGTAATATTCGATAAAATTGGCGAGAATTTAATTGTTCACGCGAAATTATTTACTAAAAAACTCAAAAGAGCAAAACGTTAGTATTAAACAGCGAAAAGAATTATTTAAAAAAAAAAAATTTAAATCAATGTCTGATATGTAATCATAGCGAAAATAATATTTGAGAAGTAATTTATTCTTTAATTGCGGCGTATTAGAAATTTTTAGCCACCCAGATCAGTAAAATTGTACACGTCACCTACGTCACTCACAAGAAATTCTTCCGTCACATGACGATTTTCCGATCTTGTGACAGTTTTGTAATTTTTTTTTTTTTTTATTTTAATTATGTGCCATTATAAAAAAATTTTCATCGAAATTGGATACCCATATAAGCACCTTCTGTATAAGCACATTGTCTTTATAAGCATATTAATTTTTCAAACCAACTACTACTGTATTAAATATATAAAAATCACTCTCTACTAGCTTCAGCCATGATATTTATTTTTTTATTTTTATTTTTTTTAACTTTCAGCAATCCTGTATTATTTAAAAAAAATAATAATTTACAAAAGTAATAACAACTTTTTTTAATGATTTTTTATACCAAATTTTTACAAAACAAACCAAACTATGAAAACCAATATTTACTATACTTTATAAAAACAAAATTTTATTTAATTGTTATTGGTTGAAAAGATAATAGGTAGATATCTAAACAAGGCATCTTGGTAAGCTATGATACTATTAAGCAAAGATGTAGTAGGGCAACTTTAAAGCTTTGTTAAATGTTATAGATATGAAATAGAAATAAATATTTGGTAAAATATAGTAGTATAGTGATGTTTACTAGAAGTCTGGAACCTTATTAGATATCCAAATCCTTCTAGAGTTCTAGCAATTTTAATAAGAATTTTCATTAAAAGAAATTTTCTAATGGATCTATATTATCATTCAATAAAAATGCATAGATATAAATAATATTAACCAATAAAAATATGCATGTTTTTATGTAATTATTGATAAAATATGTGGGATATTAATCAATAGAAATAAGACAAAATGATATTTTTTAAAAAAATCAAATACTTTAACTTTCACAGTTTATATCTCAATAAACTTTAAGATTATTTTGATGATTTAATATTTAAAAGAAAGCTTAGACTATAAGCTTTTTTTTTTGGCTATTAAATAATTAAGTAGCTTCAAGAAAGTTAAAGTATTGATTCTTTTAAAATGTCAATCTGTCTTATTTCTATTAATAGTAGCTATTTAGTTAATTTATTACTCAAGTATATATATATATCAAGTAGATATGTATTAAAACTATATATATATATTTTTTTATTAAAAGTTACTAGAAGTTCCATCTAGCTAATAAAAATCTTTTTGAAATGATCCAGTAGATATTCAATTACTAGAAATAAATTTGCTTTCAATTCCACCCAGTTAGGTCCAATGGCTATCTAGTTCCAGTAAGGGAATATCTATAAATAATGTTATGTACTCCTATATAGTAGCTCTTGACCCCCCAGAGGGATCCCTTCAACTTACTAACAATCACTTCAAAGACACCACATTTTACCGAACTCATTTTATCGACAAGATTTTTTATAGACAATTAATTCACCAACATTTAATTTACTGACATGCTTGTTTTACCGACTTGTTAATTTTCACTAACACAAAAATTCACTGAAAATCATTTTACAGACAGTTTAAATTTATAGACAAGCTTTCTTTACCAACACTAAAATTCACCGACAATATATTTTACCGACAATAAAAAGAGTAGGACTAGTGTTAATAGTAGAATTATAGCTATTTTTATAAATTCTGGAACACTCTAAAAAAATTTGCCGAGGTCTATTTGGCCGAAGTCGATAAGTAATTGATTTTGGGATTCAGTAGTAGATAATATCAGATGTGTAATTTAATAAGATCAGGTGACTAATATATATTGCAATACAGCAGTCAATATTCTTTGGCATGATCTATTTTCGCTCAAATAAAGCCTTTATCTTAACAAAAACTCATTTTTAAAAATTATGAAAATTTCAATTCCTATTCTTTGAAAAAATCTATTTTCGCTCAAACGAAGCCTTATTCATTTTTAATGATTTTTTGATGAAAATTAGTTTTTAAAAAATTGTATAAAACTTCAATTTCTATTATTTGGAAGATCCATTTTCATTCAAACAAAGCCTTTATTAATTTCTAATTAATTTTTTGATGAAATTTTTGTTTTTAAAAAATTAAGTGAAATTTCAATTAATATTCTTTAGCAAGTTTTATTTTCATTCAAATGAAGCTTTTATTCATTTCTAATTATTTTTCAATAAAATTTTGGTTTTAAAAAATTGTATAAAATTTAAAAATTCTATTCTTTGACAAGATCTATTTTTGTTTAAACAAAGCCTTTATTTATTTCTAAATATTTTTTGACAAAATTTGGTTTTAAAAAATTGTATAAAATCTCAATTCCTATTCTTTGGCAAAATCCATTTTCGTTCAAACGAAGGCTTTATTCATTTCTACTATTTTTTATTTCTTTGTTGAAGAAAAATTCAGATTTAAAAATCAAACTAAATTTCAATTTTATTCTTTGCAAGATCCATTTTTATTCAAATAAAAATATTTATTTATTTCTAATTATTTTTTATTTCTTGTTGAAGACGAAAAATTCATTATTAAAAAACTAAACTAAATTTCAATTCTTATTCTTTTGGCAAGATTTATTTTCATTCAAACGAAAGCATTATTTATTTCTAATTATTTTGTCGAAGACAAAAAATATATAAATAAATATATACATGAATTTTTTATTTTAATTTAGTTTATCATAATTCTTTATGCATTCTCGACAGATATTAATAATAACTAGTCGACAAATTCATGATCATATTTAAGTTTTTTAATAGCGGCACCTGTTCGAGTAATATATTTCTATAAATTCTTGTACAAACTAAACATACCAAACATGTTGGACAAGCATTCGAACAAAAATTTAAAATCATTGACATTATTGTTATGAAATTATAAAATAATCATTATAATTCAAAAATAGCTTTTCTTAATTATTTTATTATACTGATTATACCGAAATCAATTACTTATCAACTTTAGCAAATTTTTTTAGGGTGTTCCAGAATTTATGAAAACAGCTGTAATTCTACCACCAACACTAGTCCTACCCTTTTTATTGTCAGTGAAATATATTGTTGATGAATTTTAGTGTTGGTAAAGAAAGCTTGTCTGTAAATTTAAACTGCCTGTAAAATGATTTTTAGTGAATTTTTATGTCAGTAAAAATTAACAAGTCGGTAAAACAAGCATGTTGGTAAATTAAATGTCAGTGAATTAATTGTCTGTAAAAAAAGCTTGTCAGTAAAATGGGTTTAGTAAAATGTGGTATCTTTGAAGTGATTGTTGGTGAATCAATATGGACCCCCCCTAGACTATATAAAAAATTTTTAAAAATCCATATATTTATATATAAAATTTTACAAAAACTTAGAAATTTTATGACCCAGTGATCCAATCAGGATGATTTTGGTACTATTCGATTCGTCTTTGTGAGACGAATCCAATGGTACCAAAAATCATTTCATTTGAACCACTGAATAACGTTTTATTAACAAAATACTATTGATTTTATAGTAATTTTATAAGAAAACATAATAACCAATAGTATTTCATTAATAAAACATGATACAGTAATCCAAATCAAATGATTTTGGTACCATTCGACTCCTCTTCTCGAGAGGATTCGAATGGTACCAAAATCATCCAATTTGGAACACTGGATCAAATTTTAATAAAAAAATTGCATTATATTTTGGGTGACTCTCTAAATATTGGAAAATTGTTATATTTTGGGGGACCCCTTCCCCCTCAAGCATAATGTTATTTATGGATGCCCCTCTAAACAACACTGTAGTAGTATATACAACCAAGGCTGTCACTTTTACTATGTCCAGTGGCTAAAGGCACTGGACTAGACCATATTGGACTTATTAAATTACTATGTCCAGCAGTCCAGTGGCGCAGCACTAGAATATGTCCAGTGTAGTCCAGTAACAGCTCTGTATACAACATACCTCTTACAAACTTCCTAAATATTTAGTATACTTTCTCTATACTTTTTTTGATCTTTTGAATATTTCTATTTATTTACTTCAAAAAATTGGTAGTAGTAATACTACTAAATTAGATATTTTGATTTCTTTTAAATTAGAAATATATTTACTTGAAATAAAATTTTATATAAATAAATTTGGCTTTGTCTAACATAAAAGCTGCTTTAAAGAACTTGTTTTTTCTTTTCTTAAGATTAGGCTTTTTTTCAAAATCTACTACCTTATTTAGCAAATTTTTCTGGCTTGCTTTAAGAATTGCTTTTTTTATTAAAACCTACATTTGGTTCAAGTTTGCCTCTATTTGGTCTAGGGATTCTGAATCTGTATCTAGTGTATCTTTCTTTAGCGCCAATAGAGCTCTATTGTTCAGATCTTTCCATAAACTATTATGATAGTTGTTCTAGTTTTCTTTTGTAGCTTTCTCAAGTTTTTAAACTCTTTGTTTAGCACTAAGTACTGCTTCTTTTGTTTGACAATTTGATAAGGTGTTTGGGCTTCATTTACATTTTACAAATATGAGATTATGATTGCTTCTTGTTACCGTTAACATATTACAAATTTTTGCCTCTTACAACATATTTATCATATTACTTGATGACCAAATTTAATCTATTCTTGTTGCTACTAAACTGTTACTTCAAGTGAACTTCTTTTTATACAGGTTGAAAAATCTAAAAGTGTTCAAGAAACTCTTTTGTTTGAACCAAGTATGCATTGTCAATTTTCTATTATTATCGATTTGTGATGATTTGTCTAATACTGAATCGACTATATAATTAAAATCTCCTA